TTTCTCGTATACACTTTATTTCTTCTTTTTTTCTCTATCTTCTCTTTAAAACTCCATATGGAAGTTCGTAGTTGTTCAATGATGACACGGTGACATCAAAGTCATTATTGGAGGCGGATCTATCAAAATCAAAGGTGGATCTAGTAAAATCAAAGAGGGATCTAGCAAAAAAAGGCAGGTCCTGATGATATTGTTAGATTCGATGGCAGATAAACTTACGTTGTGAATATGAATGTTGTTTTTACCCAAGCATTTGGTTATATAACCTTCGAGTAGTAAATCACTGAATGAATTACACTGCATCCTTTTGGATGCAGAATAATAATAGATCTCTGTATTTTACACTGGGATGCTAATATTATGCCCTTAGGTTTATGGCTTTGGATCCACCGGTGGATAAATCTCGTTTGTGAATTAGTTTTATAGTGCCTCCCTAAGTTGATGCATAATGATAACAGGTTCGGGTGTCGGCCGCTATTGTTGGGGACGGGTAAGAAGAGTCTTGCAAGATTGCTTCCTAGCCCAAAGATATATAAGAGAAGATACGTTTATATACCTCCCAAGTGGGGAAAACGTTAGACTTTATCCTGCGAGATAATTTTCTCTACTTTAGAGTGAGAACGAGATAGAGTATTTTCTAAAAAGACACCTCAACGAGTGTTCCAAGATAACTTGGTCACTTAACTTGAGCAGAATAATCGGAGGGGCTCCCCATTGGGTTGATCGATTTTAAAAAATGATTTTTTAAAATCAGTTTCTTTTGAAACAATTATTTTCTTAGAATGAGATATCAGTTTTGATTTCAAAACTATAAACCATCATTTTGGATAATTCTATGTTTTTTACACCCACTTATACAAATTCCTTCGAACCTATGGTATTAGGTTGAAAGTTATATTGGGAAACAATGACGTGGAGTGTGAGACAATTTATTTCAGCTTGACGTTGATTATAATGACGGAATAGTTTTAATTTAACTCTTGTGATTATGTGATAAAGTATAATAGTCTCAAGTTTTAGATCCTCACAAATACATAATGTGGCGTTGTACTGACCCCTCCAACCTAAAAAAATCTATTTTTAGATTGCAATTTTGCTGGATATTGTTCGAAGCAACCAAAGATATAAAGTTTATTTTGATTTAGAGAATGGAGTTTACAGCTTTAGACTATGCTCATGATTTTAATACAACTCATTTGGAGCGTGAATGCTCAATCTTTGGTTTTACCTTATTAGTTAAATCTGTTTTCCGCTAAACTTTGAGTTTTTGAATTTACCGTTTTGATATCAACATATGAATGTACTTAGTGCTATGATTACTAAATTCCTTGTATGATTTGAGTGAGAATAAACTGAAGCTATTCTTAAATGTGTCATATAGTAGTTCTCACGTCAGCGCACTGCTTTTCGGGGCATGACAAGAGTCACCAAGGTATCTACAAGGGTATGCACTTGATCTCTTATTCGCATTAAGTAGAATGTGCTCTAGAGTTGAAATCCAAAAAAATATTGAGTGTTTATGTTGGTCACTCAATGATTTGGCCTTCTGACTTTGTAAAACTCGTGTATTGTAAAATTGGTTTGCATGTGATTCTGAAATGGTTGTTTTGTAATACCCCAACTCGTATAAATCGAATATAATGGATTAGCAGGTCGGCTTGCTACTAAATTGGTATCCACAAAGAGTTTTTAGAAACAACAATTTAAAAACTATATTACAAATGACATAATTGAAATTTTTTCCCAAAACATTATCAAGCATTACTAAGATTTTGTAATAGTGCGGAAGCTTATGTAAACAAATATCATTATTTGATCGTTACCAAAATCTATTCTTTCAAAATTTTGTTTAACTAATCAATAGTTTGAGCCTACATCTATACATCTCATCCGTGTTGTTGTTTCTCAGAGAACATTCCAACTTTAACATATATCATACCTACGTGTAGCAAATAAAACATATTACACGCTCAACGATTAAGCTGAGGAGGATATCTAATGCATCGAACATACACACATATAGAATGCAACACCCTAATTTGTCTAGGTCTGCAGCCCCTTTAGGGCTAAAGTATTAACTTGGTAATCGTAAAAATTTAAAACATTTTCAAACATTTTTATTCATCATAAGAATAGTATTCATAACAGAAATAGTAAGAAGTTTTCAATATTGCGGAAGCTTAACAAATCATAATTACAAAACATAATTAATTTATTTGCTTCAATTCAAAATCATCACATCCATTCCGACAATCTTACCTTCGTCTGCATCCAAGATCACGTCACATCATTTTTTCTTTTTACCTGCGTGTAGCAAATAAAATATACTACACGCTCAACGGTAAAGCTGAGTAAGCATATCTAATGTATCGAACATCCATATAAACTGAATCTCAATTCATAATCAAATCATTTCATATCATGCACATAATGTTCAATTCAAATATTCTTCATACATGATTTTGATATTGTTGAATTCATATCAACACATGCTATTCAGCTCAAATATATTCAATATTCGTTATTTTGACAGTGTACTTAAATTATTCTTAATCTAAGGTCAAACAATAATAACGCTCTTAGCTATTATTAATCTAAGGCCAGGTCATAACAATGCTCTTAGCTAATCTTAGTCTAAGGCAAAATCATAACAACGCTCTTAGTTATTCTTAGTCTAAGCCCAAATCATAACAATGCTCTTAGCGATTCTTAGTCTAAGAACAATGCTCTTAGTTATTCTTAGTCTAAGGCCAAATATACATTTCCATAACAAGACTCTTAAAGAGCTATTAGTAACCAGACGCTTAAACTATAATTAGTTTAAGGAAATTGACAACCTGATGCTTAAACTATGATCAGTTTAAGGCAACATATTTCATGACGCTTAACGGTAGTGAGTTAAGGCAATTAAATTCCTTACACTTAAACTATAACTAGGTTAAGACAATTGATTTCATGACTCTTAAACTATAACTAGTTTAAGGCAATTCATTTTCTGATGCTTAAACTATAATCAGTTTAAGGCAATACATTTCCTGACGCTTAACTGTAGTTCGTTAAGGTAGCAATAGAATAGTGACTAATCATCGTCGGATCAAGGTATTCCCAAACGAGTGATCCTCTAGTTTTGTCTATGAATCCCTTTTATATATTTTATTCAAATTAAATCAGCAAATATACTTATCGTCACAAGTCCATTTTAATCTGAGGTCTATCCTAGATGTCTTCTAGATAGCTTTAACATCAATTATCTAAATGAGCAAATCTTAGAGTTTTTCTAGATACCCTTAACAATACACATCGTTTTCTTGCTCATGAATCTATTCATTTTGAATCATGATTCATTAATTCATAATCATCATCTAAATCGGGATAATCAAACAAATATATCTATTCACAATTTCATTCTTACGGTTTATTCATTCAATACCATATTTTATTATATTATTTCGTCAGAATAAGATCGTTATCATCATATTTACACGGTCATCCATTTAATCGTCATAATCAATATTTTATCAGTGGCTCTTTATTATGGTTTATCCATTGTAATAATCATTCAATTAGAATATCCATCAAGGTTTGATCATAATCAATATTCAACAATAGTCATCATAATATTCGTTAACAAATAATGACCTAGCATCGAGTGTTAACACCCTAGCTTATTGTCATACTTATTTACAAAGATCGTTCCTGATGCGTCGTTTGTGAATTATAGTCGCTTTCTACTAAAATTATAGTATACAAATTTGGTCTTTCGCCGAAGTTCTAGCCCACAATTATAGCCATTATTTTTATATTATACGTTTAACCAATATTAGAATATTTCACCGGACATAGGGTTGATGTCAAATTATACTTCTGCCTTAAATTAATGCCAACATGATAAAGAAGAAAAAGACCATTTATGAAAAAACACCCTCAAAATGACTACTAGAATAATACTCCCTCCGTCCCAAAAAGAATTTCTTACTTTGATTAACGTGCAAAATCCCATGATTTTTAAAATCATTTTATCTGCAAATTGGTAAATAAATAACACTTAAAAAAATTATATTAAAAAACTACATTGAAAAACTCTACAAAATTAGAGGTGATAATAATATTTTATTTTATCACATAACTAAAACAAACATCAAATAAGAGTTATCTCGAGGAGTATTTAAAAGGGAGAAAAACCAAAATAGAACTCTAAGAGCCTTAAAATACTCTAAATAGCAGTGCTATATGTTTCGTACATGTGATTGCGATTTTGTCCTTTAATTAAACAGGAAATATTCATTACACACTGCCAAAAAATATGATTGTTTTGGGTAGTGTGGTTGTTCCCTTGCAACTGTGTAGTGGACAGTGTGGTTTTTTTATATGTGAGTATTTAATGTGGCAGTGTAGAATGTATATATGTTGTTATATCTTACGGCAGTGTGTAAGTGTATTACTGTTGTTCCTTAATTTCATGTTGGAGTGTAATGTCCATTGATTTATGTGGTAGTGTTTTCATGTATAAATTCTACACTGTCAAAAAGTGTATGACTATTTTCATGTATGAATTCCACACTGCCCAAAAAATGTATATATCTTTTTATGTATGAATTCCACACTATTTTCATGTATGAATTCCACACTGCCAAAAATGTGTAATGTGTATGACTATTTTCATGTATGAATTCCACACTGTCTAAAAATATATGATTGATTTCATGAATAATCTATTACACTAAAACACACTTGCCAAACATGGGCGTTAAATATTCATAAACTGCGTAGGATTAGGATTTAGCAGAGCTATGGTAAACAACGTAGGATGATGTTCTCGTACGTATGAGACGCATGAATGAGGAGGAGCCGCACATATGAGGAGGAGTGGCTACGTGAATAACTTAAGTTTAATCAAATAATTAAAAATAATTAAAAATAGTACGTAGAATATAATAAAAGGTAGAGATTATGCTTGGAAGATATTGACACTATAAATAGCTAAATTCGTATAAAAGATTAAGGATTGCTATATGCTTAATATTTTAATATTGAGTGACTTAAACTATAACTCGAGGGAGGGGAATTAACTATAACTCGAATACCAAAACCAATTTCCAGTTTCCCAGCATCCCTGTGTTCATCTCTTTTTCTTTTTTGGTCGAAATCTCTTCCCTCCTGCAGTTTCTTCTCTAGGCGGAGCTGATGGGTCGGCCACCGAGCAACGGAGGTCCTTCTTTCCGATTCAACCCTACCGAGGTTTGCCATATTTGTATAATGCATTTATTCTGTTCTTCTTCGATTAATTGGTGCTGGCTATTACTGGTATTTTCGATTTTGCTGATGCAATTTTGTAATATGATGATCCTATAATTAGGTTTATTATTACGTTAAGGGGGATTCATAAATATGGCATTATCATCTTAATTTAATATTGCGAAATAAACTACAGAAACTTAATTTCAATTGGATGAAGATATAGTTCTTATATACAGGGCCCGTCATATGCTGTGCTATACAGGGAGTAATAATTCAGCTCCCTGTTTTTAGACATTACCTCTAAATCAGCCATAAATAATCAATATGAATAAAATAACCCTAATTGGTTTAATTTTTTTGTATCATGACTTTGATTCCAATATATAATACTCATATGCAGATTAAGAATGGATTAATTCATAAAGGTTAAGAAGAAAGATTAAACGTATGTGCGTTTGACTGATTTTTTTAACATAATTAAAATTTTATGAGTTGAACGGAAATTATCTGAAGTTAAATGAACTTTTTAAAATTGAATTGAACCAAAAATTAGTTGTGAAATTGAGAAGTGCTGAATAAAACTCAACTGAACTTGTCTAAGCTGAACTTATATGAGCTGGACTGATAAACATTGAATTGAAATTATGTTGAATAGAATCGACTCTAATTACTGGGTATTAAATAAGCATTGAAGATTTTTTTATTGCTTAATGCAAAAAATTACAAGAAATCTAGAATAGAGAATTAGGAGATGGGTGGCGCACCTAATGGGCGATTGGAAGATCAACAGCCCACAATCAGAAGAGAGCTCTTTCTTCTTCAATCAACAATCACCTTTCCCTCTTCAATCACATTCAGAATTGCAGAATTGCAGTTACACATCGCCCCGCATTCACAAGTCATTATTTGTTTTTTTCAGACGACACTTGATGCCGAGTTCTTTTCAAGTGTCTCCCAAGGCTTAGTAATATAAGCATATAACTTCTTTTAATATCATGGGTCCCTATTTGGGGTGGGGGGGGGGCAGTTGCACCGGTAAAACTGGCCCTGTGATATACCTATTATTATTTTATGAATGTTTGCAGTTTGGTGTTAGTCAAGTGGTTGGAAGTTGGAACTCCTATGATCAAAACCAACGCTTTAACAACCATGACCCCTGCTGGAAGGACACCAATTTCGGAAGGACTCATAGCTATAGAGCAGTTTGGCTAAATGGTATTGGTGTCTCTTGGTGGCAGCAATATTCCTATTTCATACTGAAGGCAATAAACCGAGCAATGCCATTGCTTGCCAATACACTTATGAGTTGCACGTGTCAATCTTCCACCAATCCCATTACGCATATTTTCTTTTCGTCGAATTGGAAAACCTGAATGCAACAGTTGAGGTGCTGAGGAGGTGTGAGAGGCCAGGATAGGGAATCTTAAGAGGGTAGAAGTAGGATGACGAAGAGTTGGAGCATCGACTAAACTATTAAGAACGTCACGATGTCGAGGGGCTCCTGTACTACGATGTACTGTCAAGAATATCCAGCCCCTAATACCAACATCCCATGATCATCTGGGTCTATCCTCACGAAGATATCAAGATACACACAAACGAGAGTCCCAACGATCTATGTTACTCCACAAACGAAACAATTAAAACACACACATAATCAATTTAGTTGTTTTTTTATTATCTCATATTTGTTTACCTTAACTCGTTGGACTATAGTAACCTGTGTCAATTGTCTTTGACCCGGAGATCTTTTCGAAACAACATTTCTACCTTTTCTTAGGTAAGAGTAAGACTTGCTTGCTCCTACTCCACATAGCCTGCTTGTAAGATTTTACTAGGTAGGCTATTGTTGTTGAAATAAAACCTATGCACTTAGCATTATGATAAAGTAGGGCTCTATTGTGATAGAATGAGGAATTACTGTTTTGTATAATACTATAAGGAGCCATAAGTTCTGGACCATGTTTTTACTGTCTATAAACTTTTAGGTTGCTGAGATGGAGGCTGTTTTGCAAGCACACCATACTCAAGTGCCTGCTCGTGAAGTTCTTTTGTCTCTTGCTGAAAAGTTTAGGTACAATACTTATCTCTAACATATTGGTAATTCTAGTTCTTTATTTAGCCTGTAAGAGGGAGAGAGTGGAATGTAACCTGCCCAAATTTGATTCAGTGCTTCATCCGAGAGATCCGGAAAGTTTGTGGTTCAGGTGAAACAAGTAAGGCACCATCATTACTCATTATGAGTTATTCTATTTTTAGCGTTTATTTCTTACTTTTCTCATATTATTGGTTTCAGGTATGGAATTGGTTCCAGAATAAGCGATATGCTATCAGAGCAAAAACATTTAAGGCTCCCAATAAAGTTCCTGCTCATGTCACGCCTCAAAGTGAACCAACTATTGTAAGAACAATTCCTCAAGTTCCCCAACCTTGTCCTCCTCTTTCAGGTGAAACCTCTGGTGTCAATTCCATCATTTCTAATGATCTTTTACTTTATTCAACAAATACCCATGTCTAAGTATTACTGTCATATTGTATTCTTCTTGTTATTAAGTCACAGCAAGACCATTGATCCATGCTCAACAAGGAGCTCAACCCATTGCTGCCCCTTCAGGTTGAATTGTTGAGCAAAGTTTGCTTGAAACATTATGTTTTCCAATTTATGATTTAACTCATGCCAATGACATTACATGATTATATTGTAACAATTGCAGTTTTATATTCCTATGCGCACCTTGTTTTATTATCATTTAAAAACCATTAAATGCTTTCTCAAATTTTATATTCTATCACCAGCAAGTGGCGGTAGGAATGGGTTGGATAATGTTCAAATGGAGTTTGAAGCCAAATCTGCAAGGGATGGTGCATGGTCTGTGTTTTAACTCAATCAATTCATTAGTAGCTTCTTATGTTAGTCTTTTATGTCTCATGATAGCTATTCTAGTATGAAACTTATAGATGCATTGATCTTTTATTCTAGGTATGATGTGGCATCTTTTCTCTCGCATAAATCCATGGAAACTGGAGATCCGGTAATTCCCGCATCTTACGCTTCTTAAGTTTTGAATGACCTTTTTTCATGTCTGATGCTACAATTGACATCACATCATTTGCAGCCTATGTAGGGTGATTCTAATGTGTTTTGGACACTGCATGATTTAGTAGACCTTTGCACTTTCATCAGATGCTTTGCTGTTGTTGGCATTCAGAAGCCCTACATTTAGTTATTCTGCCATCTTTGTAGAAATGGAATGTTTTGTTTTTCAGAAAAAAATATGATTCAGCAATTAAGAAAATGGAAATTGTGTGGTTGAATTTATTTAGAAGGAAAAAAGACATTATGCATCACAAACTTCTTTCCTTTAAGGTATACACCAAAGTTTATTTTGGTATGGACAAAAGGATAGTGTGATAAAGTTTTAGGGACAGAGGGGAGTATATTATTGTTCTCTTATCGTACACAACAAACATGCATGCATGATACTGGCCAGCCTATTCAGCTCCTTGCTACTATGATCTGAATATTTCTTGATTATTTAAGGAAGTTCTGGTTCGATTTGCTGGGTTTGGAGCAGAAGAGGACGAGTGGGTTAATGTTCGCAGAAATGTTAGGCAGAGGTCTCTTCCCTGTGAATCATCAGAGTGTGTAGCAGTTCTAAAAGAAGATCTAATCCTCTGCTTCCAGGTGCACTGTTTTCCCATGTAGCTTGAGGAACAATCCCACATTTCTGCTGTAATGTCTTCCTGAATTTAGTATATCAACCTGCTTGTAAAAAACTCAGGAAGGTAAGGAGCAGGCTCTTTACTTTGATGCACACGTCCTGGATGCTCAAAGGCGAAGGCACGACGTTAGAGGTTGCCGCTGCCGCTTCTTGGTCCGCTATGATCATGATGAATCCGAGGAAATTGTTCCTCTGAGGAAGATTTGTCGTCGACCTGAAACTGATTATAGGTTGGAGCAACTAAATGCTGATTCTTCTGCAACAATGAAGCAGCGAAAAGGCAGTACTGATGCTCAAACAGCCAACAACGCATCACCGGTGGTTGTTGCTCCACCAGCTGAAACAGTAAAGAGACCACCACCACCACCAGCCACCACCATATCAACCTGCAAGCGAACTGAAACAATGGCAAAAAAGATGAAGACGGATGAGCTTGTGCCCACATCAGCCGAAGTTCATTACTCTGACTCTTCATTGAAGGAGCAGCATGAAGCTGTGAAACAACAACAAACAACTACGAATCAAATTTGCAATATCATAAAGGTATATCCCCCGGGGGAACCACAAAAACCTTCAACTGAGTTTGTGCCAAAGGCTGAACTGACGTTATTGACCCCAGCTGAACCAACGTTTGCACCTCCACCTGAACCAACATCAATAATTCCAGCTGAACCAACATCAATAATTCCAGCTGAACCAACATCTATAATTCCAGCTGAACAAAAGCCAAACCCTGCATCTGAAAATACTGAGAGCTTAGCTGCTGCCATATGTTCTGTCCCCACACCAAATCCAATTGAGACATCTGATGAGCAGCTTCATCCAGAGAAGGATGCAACTATTGCTGCACCAAATCCGGAGACAACAGATAATCAACTTAATCCAGAGACAACTGTGACTCGGATTGCTGCTGCTCCTGCTAGTACTCTTCCCATGTCAAACCCATTAGAGGCTACAGACGAGTGGCTTAAGGCAGAATATGATTCACATGCATCTGTTGTTGGAAATGAAAACCAAGATGTATTTTCGAGGCTACAGCTTAATCCAGAGAATGATGCAAATGCCGCTGCATCAAATCCAATTGAGACAACAGATGAACAGCTTAATTCAAAGACAACTGTGGTTTCGATTCCTGCTTCTTCTCCTCCCATGTCAAACCCACTAGGGCATGATTCACATGCTTCTTCTGGTCATCCGGATGCATCTAGTGTTGCAAATGAAAACAAAGATGTATTACTGAGGCCACAACATGAAAACATTGCTGCACCAAATGCATTTGAGACAACAGGTGAGCAGCTTAATCCAGAGACAACTGCAGCTCTGATTGATGCTATTTCTACTGGTACTTCTCTTCCCATATCAAACCCAATTGAGGCTAAGGCAGAGGGTGATTCACATGCTCCAGATGGTCATACAGAGGCATCTGTTGTTGCAAATGAAAACAAAGATGAAATACAGAACAATGCCGAGAATGGCCGAAATGGGAACACTGGGATTTCAGAGACCCCCATTCGAAATGATGCTATGTTTGCAAGTCACGAGGCTATGGATTATGCTTCTGATGGTGCCATGACTTGTAGCACTGACATGCTTGATGTTGTTTGTGCCTCTGGTAGTGACTAGTAAGCAGCAATAATAGTTATTTGTTCTCAGCTCTCCAGACAAGATTTATGTTAACTTGTAAAATTTACTCCATCCTTCCGACTTCAATTGTTTTGTTTTAAAATTAGGACACTCCTAAAATGGTTTTAGGGAATTGATAGCTGCACCCTTCTAAATACTAAACTCACTCTTTTGTTTTGAATGTTACGGAGTATTGAAAGTAAGATAAAGTAATAATAAATATGAATGCATATATGACAAAAATAGTGAGACGAATGAAAAAGTTAAAAGAGGACAAAAAAAAATATAGGAGAGTATTTTCGTGCCAATTGACCACCCAGCAACTCCAAAGATAATAGGAAAATTAGGAAGGTATCCTATGTATTTACCTTCAAAAAGGTAAATATACCTTCTTAAAAAGTAGAAATATCCAAAGGAAGAAGGTAAATGGAGACTTAAAATGAGGGGTGATTTCCCAATCAGTGCAGATTTGGGAAATGCATTTCCAAATGGTGATTTAAGGGTTTTAGGTTGACGGTAGAGCTAGTACCGTTAACCCTTGGGTTATTTATAAATATGAAATTCAATACTTCCCTTCCTTAGATATAGGCGTTAAATATGAACATTAATAAAAAATTTATTCATTTGTTGCATTGTTCGATTGAATTCATAGATATCTGGGGTACTGGTTGCATGATACATCAAGCCCTTCAGTTTTTTGCTATTGAACTTATTCTAAAAATTACTTCTCAAGTGGCGCACGCAATATCTCCTGGTGACACGCTGTTCCATTAACTGGGGGATAGTATTAAAAGCTACATCAATGCCCCGTGCATATCAGAAATGATGCACACCGACTTATCGTAAGGTACTACATAATGCATTAAATGCATCATGAACCAACTCCCACTATCCTCGTCTTCTTTGTCAACAAGGGAATAAGCTAAGGGGTAAATCTTGTGATCTGTTGTCATTGTTATTGCCAACAACAATACCCCCTTATACTTCCCATACAAGTGGGTGCCATCAACAGAGATCACGGGAAAATAGTACTTGAACCCATCTATAGACGTTTTGAAAGACCAGAAAACGTACATGAACTGAAAGGTTTTTGGCGTTGTTGTTGGCCGCATTTGTATTTCGGCCACTGACCCAAGATTGCTTTGAATCAACGCTGCTAATAGAGGCAATAGCTTGTTATACGAATCCTCCCAGGATCCGTACAATCGTTGAATGGCATTCGACTTAGCCAACCAACATTTCTTATACGACACAGAAACTGTAAAGGCAAGCTAATGTCGCGGAGCCTATAGCGCGACTTCGCACTTCTTGCGCGGTGCCAACGAGCAACTCCAAAAGGCACAAGTTCACCTTGTTATCCGTCGTACTAGCAAACAGAGCATCACCCATAATCTTCAACATCAATGCCCGAGCATGCTGCCAAAAGTCGACCTCCGGGCTATGATCACTAATTAGAATGAGAACGATCGCATTCATTTTGATCTGCGTCTTGGTCACGTCCTCTACAGATGGCTTAAAACCCAACATATTTGAACACAATTGCACCCAATACTCTTTCGTGTTGCCACGCGAACCAACAACCGGGATGCCATCTACGGGGAGACCAAGTAGGACCTCTACTCCTGTAATGTGATCCCAACCTCTCCAAACGAAAGATGAAAGGCACGCGTCTCCGGCCTCCACCTCTCCACTAAGGCAGTAATCAAAGCCCAATCTATTTGTAACATAGCAATCCTTTCTACCCCGTAAACTCCATATTCACGCAATATCTCCACAACTCGTGGAGGACGCTCCACACCAAACCCTTCCCTCAAGCTACCAAAAAATTTCACACATTTCACCGGTACGTCCCCAAACCCACGGTCTTGCCACACCCTATTACAACGATGTTTGCCGGGTGCCAAGACTAGTACATCGGAAACAATTGGTTCTGGATGGACCTCCGTTCTTTGAAAATTCATTATTCTACGAAATTAAAATTTTTATTTTATGAATACGAGAAATCAAAAGTATGTAATGCACTATAAAAAATCCTCAAATATATCACACAAAAGATTCGGATATCTCATAAACATAAAAATTTTTCAAATTCTCAGCATAGATTTAATCTAAATTTTCAATTTTCTAAATTATCAACATTTCATTTTTCTATTTTCTCATCCTAGAACGGGAGTATAACTTTAAATTAGAAATTTTAGGAATTAAATTAGGAAAAACGGTACCGTTTGTACCGCTAACCCGAGACGGCGACGTTGGGGTGTTGGCGGTTGGCGGCGGCGGCGAGGTTGAAGAGGAAGGGCGCCTGCTAGTTCTTTGAAAATGGGAGGGAGGGGTTGGGTTTTGGATAGAATATGGATGGTCATCCATCCATTAAGATTTTTTTTAGATATAACGGTACAACCAGTACCGTTAAGGCCTTTTTTATCTGACCGAAATTAATTTATTTTAATTTAACGGTACAGCCTATACCGTTCGACTCTTTTTCCCTCTGACAGAACTGAACGAGAATGCTTTTTTTCTTCACTGAACGGGAATTAATTCTAAATTGAGGTTTGTTTCAAAAAGGTAAATATACCTTCTATGTAATTTTTATTGTTTAATCATACACAATTTCTCATATAAAATAATTTAAAATTAATTTCTATCAAACAACGTAAACTAAAATAAATTGATTAAACTGTGGGGTTCTAGTGACACCGGAGTATGGTGCCACTGCGTTTTTGGAGCACCTACGATACTCCGTTTGCAAAATCGACGGTTACTACCCCTAATCCACCTTCTAAACCCCCACCTTACCCCCGCCTCTGCATCCCCACCCCAACCCCGCCGTAAGCCCCCCACAAAATGTGTGGCTATTATGCAACACATAATACTCACACACTTTGTGGGGGGCTTACGGCGGGGTTGGGGTGGGGGTGAGAGGCGGGGGTGGGATTGAGGTTTAGGGGGAGAGTTAAGCAGGTAAAAACCGTAGGGAGCAGGGGAGGTGTCCCAAAATGCTAGTGGCACCACCTCACCTGAGATTAAAATTGGGACGGATGGAATGCAATGTACGAGTATTTTTTAATCGTACAAGAATATAATGTCAACCTGATCCTTCGTTTAACGGGAAATGGCTCTCTGGAAGGTCTGTGGGTTTCGCCGGCACCCGTTAATTTTTGCGCCGGTTCGAGTTACATCTTCATCCTCCTATTTCTCTTCAGAACTCCAACGCACCCGCAACATGAACGTCTCTCCCGCGCATTCTGTGGCGGCCGAGTCTTCTTCCTCACTGATTTCCGCGGCACCTCCGCGGAAGAACAGTCGGTGGAAGCCTATGTGTTTGTACTTCACTCAGGGTAAGTGCACTAAGGTAATAACTCTCCTCCTCATATGGTACTTGTAATAGAGCAATTAATTTTCACTTGCCAAACTTCTACAATTTGTTTTGTAATTTTATGGCGTTAGTTTAGATGGATGATGAAATACATACTGAGAGGTTCAGTCACAACTTCTCCATCGCTGGGAAGGTAGCGTCCAATGCTTCGCAATCGGTGAATTTGAGGCAACAGGGTTTAGAGTTTCTTCTTGTGCTTGATTTGGAAGGGAAAGTTGAAATTCTTGAATTTCCGGTACTGCTGTTTGACACAAAAACCATGGATGTTATTGATTTCTTTCATAGGTGATTTCTTTTTTCTTAACTTTTACTTCATAGTATTTAGGTTTGAGATCTTTACATTTGTTTCAATATACACATCGAACTATTGCATGATACAGGAAAAAACTTTCAAAAAAAAAAAAAAAGTACTCCGTAAGATACAAAGATTAGCGGAGAGCTAAACCTTAAAATTTCTATTGTAGCTTTTGTATGCCATGTTTCCTTTTTCATGTTAGAATAATAAACAAATTTTAATGTAATGCTTTTTAATTTCCCACTTCCTTAATTCAAATACTATTAGGGCGTCTCCATTGATGCACCAAAATTGCTATTTTACAGTTTCACTTCTCCAACCCACGCGCAAACCAAAACAATTTTGGGTTTTTCTACCCTCTCTTCCCTCTTTCAGCGCATATATGCGTTTGTATTGCTCCTTACTGCATTTTTTTCCCCTTTTTTTTCTTGTTTTTGTTCAAGCCTTTTGTTTTTATGTTTTCTAGCTTATTTCAATTTGTATGTTTTTTATTCGCCTTATTTATACAACTACAACAATAACAACAAAACCTTATCCCACTAGGTGGGGTCGGCTACATGAATCAAACGACGCCATTGCGCCCTATCGTGTATCATATCAGCTGTGAGATTGTTCATGCGAAGGTTTCCCTTGATCAATGCTTGCCAAGTCCTCTTAGGTCTACCTCTTCCTCCAGCCACATGCATATTCACTACTTGATCAACCCTTCTCACGGGATGCTCTATTGGTCTTTTCTCCACATGTCCAAACCACCTAAGACGAGTTTCCACTATTTTTCCTACAATAGGTGCTACTCCAACTTTAGCTCTCATATCTTCATTCCTTATCCTATCCATACGCGTATGATCGTTCATCCAACAAAGTATCTTCATTTCTTTCACACTAACCTTGTGTTCATGTTCACCCTTTGCTACCCAACACTCTGTCCCATACAATATAGCTGGTCTAGTAGCACTACGGTAAAATTTTCCCTTTAGTTTTAAAGGTACTTTTCTGTCAAGCCCGAAGCACTCTGCCATTTTGACCAACCTGCTTGAATCCTGTGTTTAACATCATCCTCCATTTCTCCATTGTCTTGAATGATACACTCAAGATATTTAAATCTCTTTACTTGTTGTATAGTAGTTTCTCCAACTTTCACCTCGATGTTACTGTCTCTCCTTCTGTTGCCAAACTTGCACTCCATATACTGTGTTTTAGTGCGACTTATACGCAAGCCATGCAACTCTAAGCCTGTCTCCACGAATCCAACTTCTCATTCAAATCCTCTCGTGATTCGCTCATAAGGATGATGTCATCGGCAAATAGCATGCACCATGATACGGATTCTTGGATATGCTCAGTAAAAACGTCCAATACTAGTGTAAAAAGATATGGGCTTAACGATGACCCTTGGTGTAATCCTACCCCGATGGGGAATTCCCCTGTTATCCCACCTTGACTTCTCATGCTCGTTGTAGTCCCCTCGTACATGTCCTTAATCGCACGAATATAAGCAATCCTTACTCTTTTTTTCTCTAGAACCTTCCACAAAACCTCTTGGTACCCCGTCATATGCCTTTTCCAAATCAATAAAAGCCATGTGTAGATCTTTCTTTTCACTTCAGTACCTCTCCGTCATTCGTCTCACCAAGTATATGGCCTCTGTAGCCGATCTTCCTGGCATAAAACCAAATTGGTTCTCTAACACAGAAGTCTCTTGTCTCAACCTCTGTTCAACCACTCTTTCCTATAAATTCATCGTATGACTCATAAGTTTGATCCCTCTGTAGTTTCCACAACTTTGAATATCTCCCTTATTCTTGTAAATAGGAACCAAAATTCTCTTCCTCCATTCGTTAGGCATCTTCTTAGATCTTAAAATCTCGTTAAAAAGCTTAGTTAGCCACCAAATGCCTTTTCCTCCTAAACCTTTCGAAGGGTTTCTCTTGCCACCTTTCTAATAATATTTTCCATATCAGACCATAAGTCTTCCGCAGTTCCATGTCTATCCCATTTTGCTTCTTCTACTAAACAGCTTTGGAAATCCATTTGCTTATCACCCTTCAACTGCCACCGTCTAGTCCTTAGGTTCCCCTCTTGGCGACTTCTCTTTACCTTTTGTTGGATACGAAAGTCCATAACTAGTACTCTATGTTAGGTGGTCAAACTCTCTCCCTGAATAATTTTGCAATTAGTACAAAATTTTTGATCCGATTTCCTTAGCAGAAAGAAATCAATTTGAGAGCATGTCATCCCACTCTTATAAGTTATAAGATGCTCGTCTAGCTTCTGAAAACAAGTGTTTGCAATAAGAAGTTAGTAGGTCGAAGAGAAATCTAAGATGGTTTTACCTCCTGCATTCGTTACCCCAAAGCCATGCCCTCCATGGATTTGTTCATACCCACTTCCATCCTTGCCCATGTGTGCGTTTAAATCTCCTCCTAAGAAAACCTTATCTCCTAATGGTATACCTTGTACTACACCTTCGAGGTCTTCCCAAGCCTTATTTTGTGGTGTTCTTCGGAACCGACTTGTGGTGCGTAGGCACTAACCACATGAAGAGCATGTCCTTCTACTACCAACTTTAATACAATGATCCGATCTCCCACCCTCTGAACACCAACCACGTCCTTCTTCCATTGTTTATCTACAATGATACCAACTCCATTTTTGTTCTCCACCTTTCCTGTATACCATAGCTTGAAGCCTGAAGTGTCCAACTCCTTAGCCTTTGCTCCCACCCACTTTGTTTCCTGTAACCACATAATATTAATCCTTCTCCGTGTCATAGTATCCACCAACTCCATAGACTTACCTGTCAAAGTGCCTATGTTCCATGTCCCAAACCGCAACCTATCTTGACCTTTACCTTTACCTTTTCGAACTAGCTTATTTACCCACGTCCGTTCACCTAAACGTGAGAACCCTTACTTATTTTTCACTACACTCGGGCACCGATGCAGCGGGCCTAGCTCATTTGTCACTGTACTCGACCCATATAGCGTGTTGCTTCTGGGCAACGACCTAGCTTTAGCGCAAGATCGTATTTCATCCATGTCATGAAGATTCGGCAAGGTTTTACGTTGGTTTCGAGACCTAACACAACCCTCCTCTTTTATCCGGGCTTGGGACCGGCTATGTACCGTAGTTACATAGGCAGAGTTATTCGCCTTATTTATAACTTAGTAATTTTTTATTCACCTTATTTCAATTTTTTAAATTGGAAAGTATAAAAAAGTGAGAAAATTAATATGCTGTAACAATATTATTTTGAGTTTGAGTTTAGCACAATGGATTTAGTGTAATAAAAGTATGAAAAAAGTAATGAAAAAAGAAGTATATTGTGGTTTGAATTTGATTTTGGTGTAATTGGTCGGAGATGTATTACTACATTTTAAATTTGTATTGCATTATAGATTTGAGTTTGGTGTTATGGATTGGAGATGGTCTTGTAGAGGGCCATAAAGGGCTTAAATTCATTTGGAATTGAAAATTTGGCCTAAACCCATGATAATCAAAAACCATAGAGCAACAACAAACCTAGTGTAATCCCACAAGTGGGTTTTGGGGTGATTAAAATCTACGCAGATTTACCTCCACGAATTTGAGGAAGAGATGTTTTCGATAGACCCTCAACTCAAAGGAATGAAATTAAAATACGATGGCTAGTCAGTAATAAATAAAATATGATACTCTCTTTGTCCCTAAATAAACTTTACATTTGCTTTTTTACAGTCTCCAACACTCATCTTTGACCGTAATCAATTTTTTTTATTATAATGCTAAATAGTATGATAGAATAATACTTCCTCTGTCCCACAACGATTTACTCATTCTATAAAATAATATATTGTTGTCACTTCTCGTTTTGTAGACCTTTTGTTGTAGTTTTAAGTATAAAATTTTATTTTTTAATTTTACCCTATTTTCCATATGCAGTGGGAAAATCTTTGTGGGACAGAAAGAGTATTTAGAAAAGTATAAACAAGCACAAATTTGTCAAGATTATTTTTGTATTATAAAATAATACTCCATCGGTTCAAAATTAACTTTCCATGTGAGTCTCATTGTGTTTAAACCAGTGAAATTGTGTGGTTAAAGTTTGTGCACATGAGACTAAAAGTGTATTAACCACATATTTCTACCCTTAAAAGGAATGAGAAGATTATTTTGGGATGTCCAAAAAAGGAAAGTGGGAAAATGATTTTAGATGAAGGGAGTATAGTTTATGAATTATTGAAAGTTCAACTTAAAAAGTTCTCACCTTCGAAAAGCAAACATGAAGTTTATTAACGTATGGAGGGAGTAGATAAACAAAATTAGCTAGCACGTAAAAAGAGGCAGCACACTCTAGTACACCAAAAATAAACGTGTGCCCTAGAAAAGTACTAAACACACAAGAATGAGATGGAAGGTCTAACCCCTACCTCTCAAAGTAGAGCAAAAGAAAAAAAAAAACTAAACAACTAACTGCCCATCTATCTTAATCCTCACTGCCAAAATTTCCTATATAAGCTCATGTCCTCGGTTGGCGGTGAGCTTGGGTTTTGCCTTGTGGCCATGTCCTAGCATAATAGAAAAAGAGAAATCCATAATACTAAAAATACGATTACTTAACTACTACTTTCTATACTTTGAAAAGTTTCAAAAGCAGTCTCTTAGGCAACTGAGAATGTAAGCTACATCCATCAAATTACTTACGGAACAATTGAATTACCCAGAATGTTACATCATATCATATAGGACACATATAAAACGCAGACAAACATTTAGTGGTTTGAGCTACTTGACTAAAACTCCTCTTTGTGGAAGGCTGATATCCCAAGTTGTAACTTATCCTAGCAGGACATATGAATGTCAATGCATTAAATTTTACATGGAATGTTAGCAATTGTCCACAACAAAGTGTTTCCATACCAGCTGAGTTTGTTTAATGTCAAGATATTTGCATGCAGAGAGAATAAATTTACAATCGCTTGCTCTTTTTTTCATTAATTCTTTTATTTTACAAATACTTCTACAGGTTTGTTAGGCCCTCAAAAATGAGTGAGCAGAGAATAAGTGAGTATATAGAAGGCAAATATGGAAAATTTGGAGTTGACAGGTATGGTATGGTCTCTACCTATCACAAGATTGAGTACCCTTTTCATAAATGTGTGTTTGTTTACTTTCTAGTTATCAAAGTATTTTGTTAGTAGCCATACGAAATGAAGGTAATAAGTTTAATGCTTATCAAGTTTGAGATAGGAGGCAGGAAACATGTATTGTTGCTTACATGGTGTTTTGGTAAGAGATTTTAAAGCCTTAAGCATTGTTTGTTGTGTCCCATAATACCATTTTTTCAAAAAGAAAAATGTACTTAGTGGTTTGGAACAGTGTGCTTTCAAGTGTTTTGATCAAGTGTTCGGATAACTGTTTGATAAACATTATATATGTTAAAAAATTTTAAGCCTTGTGCAAAGTGATAAAGAATTTGTTTTTTGTTTTTGTTTGCATTTAAGCATTTTGGTCCAAAAAAACAAAACACAGGTTCGTAAAAATTACTGTAATTGCTACATTTTGTAGGTTCTTTACATTAGAGTTTTGAACTCTACTCAAGAACTCCCAATTGCTCTGCCAAACCCTCAAGACGGGATGTGTTTTACTTAAAATAGCATTTTGTGAGCTGAGATGCTAGATTTAACTCATCTGAATGATAGGAAGTCTCCAACTTATCCAAAATGTTTAAAATTTCGAATCCAAAGATGAAGATAGAGATTCCTCTGTCTCTCCTCTATATTATGGTGCGAGTCATCGTGTCATGCCTTCATGCAATCTCTAAATCCGGGATGATGTTTGATGTTCTGATTTCCATGTTCATACACTCTTGCAGGGTTTGGCATGATACGGCTATCCCATTCAGAGAAGTTATTGAGCAATTTGAGGCTTGGCTAGGTAAAAATGAGTTGTGGCAAAAGGACAAGGGTGGCTGTCTAAGTAAGGCTGCATTTGTAACATGGTATGT